GGCTCGCATAAGCACGAGTTTGATTCCCGCTGGAAAAGTTTCAACCTTGTCAAAAAATCAATGGAAAACAGAGTGAGCATTTGTGTTGTACTGTTTTAATATAGGCCAGGATTTCACACTGTCAAGTCTTCGTTGACAAAATATTTGTTCCTACAGCTCCATGGCAGAAAGCAGCACATCAGAGCTCTGCTCATAGACAGAGTTATGCTTCAGCATGAGGTACCTAATCTCATCTTTTTTTAATGGGCTCATTTGCATTTCTTGTATTTACAAAAATTTTTGCTGATTTTAGCTGCGAAAGCTGACAGTGGAAGGTTGTCAGTACAGAACTATTCACCAAGACCTGATGAAAGATCTGTTAAGACTTTCCACAAGCACCTACAGCCAAGTAAGTTCTTGCCACTAGTGAGTCTATGGTGAAGATAACATTCAGTCGTTTAACATAATACTCAAAAGGTAATCAAAAAACTGTATCTCACAGGTCCGAAACAGAGCTCAAACTGTGCTGTTCACTGCACTGGGGACCTATAACTTCTGCTGCAGAGATCTGATTCCTCATGTATTGCAGTTTCTCAACCCAGACAACAGCAGTGTTACCCAGCAGCAGTTCAAAGTATGTCAGGGCTTTCTCTATAGAAAACTATAGGTTTTAAATCCAGAGTTTCCTTATTTGCGTTATCATGACATTTCTCTCTGTTTCAGGGTGCCCTGTACTGCCTTCTTGGAAATCACAATGGTGTGTGCCTGGCCAATCTGCATGACTGGGATTGTATTTCTTTGACATGGCCAGCTATTGTGCGGTCTGGCCTTAGCTCTGCTATGTCCCTGGAAAAGCCCTCAATTGTGCGCCTGTTCGATGACCTTGCAGATAAAATCCACCGCCAGTACGAGACTATTGGCATCGACTTTGCTGTACGACTAGTATTGATAATGATCAGACATTTATATTCACTAAAATATTATCTATATAATTACTTAACTTTTTTATGCATGTAGATTCCCTCTGAATGCTGTGCTGTGGCCAAACAGCTTATGGGCACTGCTGCCCCTGTGCCCTCTGAGCCTGTTCCCACAGATGAGAATGTAGCTGAAGGTTTGCAGAGACAAGAACAGAAGAACACAGAGTCTGTGCAGTGAGTTAACTCCTTTACTAACCTTTGTCATTACTTCAGTGACATTTTCTTCAACTTAATAAAACATGCCATGTTTTGTAGGAAATATAATCAACTGATTGTTGACCTTTTGGATAACTTAAGCAACAGAAACTTGTAAGTCTGTGTATTTTTGGGCTGATGAGTTGTCAGTTGTGAGTTGTTTTAGTTTATCGCCTTTAACATCTTTTTTTTTCTTTTTTTTTTCTAGGCCCTGGAAATTTGAACATATTGCAATTGGCTTTTTGTCATTGTTACTGAGAGATGACCATCAACTCCCACCAGCTGCTATCACTTTCTTTGTTAAAAGTCTCAATCATGACTCGCTGTATGTTCGCAAGGTTGGTTACAGAGTTTGGTTAAAGAATTGATCTTTTTCTTAAGATTTTATTTTAAACATTACCTTTTCTCTCCATTAGGTGGCAATATCAGCTGTAGCAGGAATCATGAAACAGATTAAGAGACCACATAAGAAAGTCTCAGTCAGTCCATCTAAGCTTTGTAAGTATTTTATGTAAAATAGTTGATCTATTGCATTTTATTTTTTATATATTTACATTTTGTGTTGTCAAATTTGCTCTAGGTGACATCAAGGGGTCCAGTAATATTGTAGCAGGAGACCGACCGGACAACAAGTGGCTTCAGTATGATAGCAGCAGCCTGCCGCGCACACAGGAGGCCTGGGACACGTGTGTGTTTGTGGAAAAGACTCACTGGGGATATTACTCCTGGCCAAAGTGAGACGCTGAAAATACCATATGTATCACTGTTTCATATTTTCTTGTGATTTCTAATGATGATTTAATTTTTAGGGAGCTGACAATGTATGCACCGTCAGAAGAACAGCCCAAACAAGACCTTACTAGAGACGAAATGACCGAGGCAAATGCACAATTAGTCATAATTTGCTACATGGCAGTATTTGTGTATTTATTATAATTTAAATGATACTTCTGTCATTTACAGAGAGAACAGATTATATATGACCATTTCACCGACCCTGCCTTCATCAACCAGTTCATTGAGTTTCTGTCCCTGGAAGACCGAAAGGGCAAAGACACATTCAGCCCGCGCCGATTTTGTTTGTTCAAAGTGGGAGTCCCAAATAAATACAAGTTATGCTATCATTATTGCAAACGAGAAAAGTAAAAATTGTTCTTTGTTTTTGTCAGGGTTTATTCCGCAACTTTCATGATGCCTTTCTGCCACTGCTGCAGCCGCACATGGAGCGCCTTGTTGCAGACTCCCATGAAAGCAAGCAGCGCTGTGTGGCGGAGATCATCTCTGGATTGATCAGAGGTTGCAAACACTGGAGCTATCCAAAGGTACAGTTGAAATTGATACTTAAAATATTAAGACATAAAATTCTTAATCTTGACTCATTTTTAGGTTGAAAAACTTTGGAAAATGTTGTGTCCCTTACTACGCACTGCTCTGTCAAATATCACAATAGAAACCTATGCAGATTGGGGCACTTGCATTGCCACTGCTTGTGTAAGTTTAGGCCTATTCCTTTACATTGTAACACTGAAGTTGTTTGCTGCTACAGTGTTTTTTTTCTCTTATGTAGGAGAGCAGAGACCCACGAAAACTGCACTGGCTGTTTGAGATGCTCATGGAGTCTCCTGTGAATGGAGAAGGCGGGTCCTTTGTGGATGCCTGGTAAACACAACATAAATGATCAAAAATATATTAACAACTGCAAGCACTAACACATTCATTTCTCCCAGTCGCCTGTATGTGCTGCAAGGAGGGCTTGCTCAACAGGAGTGGCGTGTTCCAGAGCTCCTACACAGATTGCTGCAATATTTAGAGCCCAAACTTACACAAGTGTACAAAAATGTGCGAGAAAGAATTGGCAGGTAAGATATATTGAAAAATCGACCGACATTTGATTTAATCATCTTGACTTTTATAAATGTTATTTTTTTTCCTCCAGCGTCCTCACTTATATCTTCATGATTGATGTGAATCTACCATTCACCGAGCCAACCATGTCTCCACGCATCTGTGATTTTACTGAACGTGTTTTATTGCGTCTGAAACCTCTGACTGAAGGTGATGAAGAAATACAAAATCATGTGATTGAGGAGAATGAGGTGGGGGAGCAAGATGAGAGGACCCAAGCGATAAAACTCTTAAAAACAGGTGGGATTGTTGTAGTAACTGCTCATTTGTAGTAAGACCATTCTAAATGCTATCAGTATTTTATGACTCGTCTAAATTAAATCCTATTTCTTACCGTTAGTATTGAAATGGCTAAAAGCGAGTGCTGGACGGTCATTCTCCACTGCTGTTACCGAACAGTTACGATTCCTCCCTTTACTCTTCAAGGTGGGCACTTTTTTCTGTCCTGTCTGAAGTACAGTATACTTGATCATGACACTGTGTAATCCCTCATTCATCCATTCAATGTAAAGACGGTTTCAACAGTGTTTCAACAGTGTTCAGATGTTGTTTTTTTGCGATCATTTTTAATGTTGTATTTGATCACTCATATTTATGTCACTTATGTTCCTTGTTTTAGATTGCTCCAGTTGAGAATGATGACAGTTATGATGAGCTAAAACGTGATGCAAAGACATGCCTGTCTCTAATGTCTCAGGGGCTGCTCTACACAGAGCAAATCCCCATGGTTCTAGAGGTGCTGCGGGAGGTGAGTCATTATATGTTAACATAATATGATTGCAATAGGACAAAACAATATTCAGGCCAAATGGTGAATAAACATAAATATAATGCTTCAGCTAATGATCACAAACTATGCTATCAACATCAATTACATGTTGTTACATATGTGATACAAACATGCAAGTGAAGCCATGTCCTGATCCTTATATGTAACATGTTGCAGATTGCTGGCAGTAATTCCTGGCATGCTCGATACACTGTACTGACATATCTTCAAATCATGGTTTTCTATAACCTGTTCACTGTCATGAGCGACCAGGAGATTGTGAACAGTATCCGGTCACTGGTTATCAAACTTCTGGAGGATGAACAACTTGAGGTAAAGTGCACTTTTTATCAACAATGGGAAAGTGGTGTGTGCTCACTAAAACCAGATTCACTAAAAGGACATGACAGTCTGATTATATAATAGTTGGCCCAGTATTTGCTGTAACCTGCTTGTTTATGCTAGTGGTGCTCATAGTGTCTAGCTTCACTGTGGTGATTCAGCACTCTCTCTCTACCCTCTGTCTCTTTTCTTGTTCCTATGGAAACGGGAGGCTGCAGTGATCTGTTGCTATGGCAATCATGTTCAGATTGAAAGAATATAAGGGACAGAGGGAAAGAAGATTGAGGGTGGATGGAGTCAAATTTCTATTGGGATGACGAGTCATGTTTAAGACAATAGGTTAAAAATGTTTTATTATTTAAAATGCTGATAAACGACTCAACCTCCAGTACTGTGTGGTTTGGGATTAAAACTATTTACAAGTACATGTAGTACATTTTGCATCCAATAAATTGTTTAAAAAAAAAAAAAATACATACAAACAATTTATCCATTTCATTTTTACAGGTTAGAGAAATGGCTGCTACAACACTCAGTGGCTTTCTACAGTGCAATTTTCTATCAATGGATGGCCCAATGCAAGCTCATTTTGAAGCTCTCTGCAAGACACGATTGCCAAAAAAGAGGAAGAGAGAGCTTGGTGCTATGGTGGACCCCATACCTTCAGCTGGTAATGTTTGTTTAATGTTTTTTGATCTTTTCAACCATGAGACAAATTTTTTTTTTTTTTTTAAATATCTTGTTATGTTTTTCTAGATCTGGTACGGCGCCATGCTGGTGTCCTTGGACTGAGTGCATGTATACTCTCCAGCCCGTATGATGTCCCCACCTGGATGCCTCAGTTGTTAATGGACTTGAGTGCTCACCTGAATGATACCCAACCTATAGAGGTCTGGACCTTTTAATGAATATATATGTCAATATATATGTTTTAATAATTACATATTTTCATAATTATAAATTAGAGTTGTTCCTCAAAAAATAGTTGTATCTGTAAAGCATGTTATTTCCTCCCAGATGACTGTGAAGAAAACCCTCTCAAACTTCAGGCGAACACACCATGACAACTGGCAGCAGCATAAGCAGCAGTTCACCGATGATCAGCTCCTTGTCCTGACTGACCTGCTTGTGTCTCCCTGTTATTATGCTTAATACCAGGTAATTACCCAAATAAACCCCTATAACGCTTTAATAAAAAAAAAAAGTCTCTTGAATGTGTTACTATTTTACAGCACCATAAAGACAACCCTTCATAAGGCAGATACTTATGATGTATCTGAGAGAGGGGAATCGTGAAGAAAAAAAAAAATACTGAAATGTGACACATGGACTGAACACCTTGTTGATTTGTATTTATCTAGTTAATTTACATTTCTACTATACTTAATATTTAAGGATTAATCATTGCAGGTATGAAAGGCCTGCAGCTTGTAATATTATTGTACAGTGTTTCCTCCTTTTTATCTCGTGTGCATGTGCACAAAGGAGTGTGTGTGCATTTTGGAGATGCTTGAAGACATCTGCCGGTGTCCCACACATTTCTCAGGATTGTATCCAAGTATAAACTCTGAGCCAACACAATGTCCAGTGAAGGACATCCTCTTTACTTCCAATAGTGAACCTGCACACACAATGTTTGTGTGTCTGTTTGATCTATACATACATATGTATGCATATGTCATGCTATAGCAAATATGCACAAACATATTTATTATTTATTTTACGTTTTGAAGTGCTAAAGATTTATTTTTTCTGAAACTATGTAGTTGATGTCCTATTCGAATCATTTAGACTACTCTCATGTACTTTTTTGCAATGAAGGGAGAGGAGATGCTCCCCTCTGCTGTGCAGTGTGATGTTTGCTGTGAGAAACACAGTTCTATAACCATTATGTGTCTCGGTGCAAAAACGTAACCAAAATGCCTGTTCCTGAGTTCTATGGAGTATGAAAAATTTTCTAAAAACTCTGACAATAAACTGTGTTGGTTTGTTTTCCCAGATAACTTGAAACAGTCTGAACATAGATGAATTTAGGATCTCACTTATGTATAGCATAGTGCCAAATCTGCAGTGACTTTTTTAGATGGAATGTTTGCTCATTAAATGTTATAATAAAGTTTGTATCAAGCTTTAATTGGTTGTTTTTGATGGTCTTTCATATTAAATTAGTGTCTAAAATGCTACAAAATAACCATGCACCAAAGGTCTGGGGGTCAAAATACACTTGTGTAGATTAGTTAACACAGATACCTAGATTCTTTAATAGCCTGTCTGCAGTCTATGGCACATGATTATGACCTGCGTTAAAAATTAATGCCTATAGAAATTCATCATTCATACTTGTTGCCTAGCAACTTGTTGAGATGCTGCTAAGAACTGCAGCACGGCAAACCAACCACTGCGTTACTGTTTCAAATGGGCTACTATTATATATAGCCTATTATATTTTTTACAACTGAATATTACAAGCATATTAGGCCCCCCTTTAACATAAAGAAAAATATAGCCAACAGTGGTGGCATTTATAATGGGCTATGTAACAATTTAGTCAAAGCAGTTCGATTTTTTGCTGTAATAATCAGATCTATGCGGTCAGTTTTTTTTCGTCTCTTTTTCTTTATGGCATTGTAAGGCGAGGTTTTATTTTCCACATGGACTAGCATCATCTACCTGAATGCAGTGGTTATGCTCATGCCTGTAGCCTACGTAGGCAGTGACTTCATACTCATTTTTCAGCGCACGTCCAGCAGCCGTCGCTCCGACACAAGAATGAGTCCGTTATATCGTCAAGAAAACCCAAAGAAGCCGTCAGATTTTGTTTTAATTATGTCAAATGACTACGCATTTGGAGGAGTGTGTCTTTTTTGCGAACATCCGCCCCAATGCCGCGTAATTTTGCCGGATTAGCTCTGAAAATACGAGAGATTTTTTTCTTCTACAAAAGACGCGACGCGTTTACTTGCGGCTTAAAAATGAAGATAAATGGAGAAGGTTTCAAATAACGATGACGGATGCTACTGATTTCATATGGTACGTTTTGTTCTGTTATTAGTATATGCGGCCATTGGTGGCTGTAAGGGGCTTGTGCGGTAAATATAAATAGACTAAAATTGAAGTATGCTGTTTGCTGGGGCGCGTTAAGGAATAATTGCAGTGGTGCATAGCTACAGCGGGCTATAAACGTAGATGCTGTAAAATTGACGTCTGCAGACCGCTAATTGTCGATATACGTGACGTGATTGATAAGCTGTGAGCACTGTGCGTTTCTTTATGAATAAAATAACGATTATTATTCTCTGTCTTTTAGCATCCTACACCGATGGCTATGGTGTCCAAGCCAGAGCTGCAGGAACTGAAAACGTGATTTTATTCTTTTTATATAAGAAGGATGTGAAAACCCAACCAGTAGAATTCAAAAGAAGAACAACATAAAATGAACACCACTGTCCCACCCCCAGAGCTGGTGGGAGTGCCAAGGACACAGAACCTCAGCGTTCCTCTTGGAGCCCTAAGCTCACAGGCCCTGGCAGGATGGGCCGTCATCCACACGGCCACATTGACGTTCTGCTCTTTCCTCCTCATTGTTATCTTTTGTCTGGGCTCTTATGGGAATCTGGTTGTGTTCCTTTCTTTTTTTGACCCAGCATTCCGCAAATTTCGAACTAACTTTGATTTCATGATTCTCAACCTGTCTTTTTGTGATTTGTTCATCTGCTGTGTGACAGCACCTATGTTTGCGCTGGTGCTTTTTCTGGATGCCAGTGGAGGGGACGGAGTGTCCAAAAGTTTCTGCTTTGCCTTCCATCTGACCAGCTCGGGCTTCATCATCATGTCACTGGAGACGGTGGCTGTCATTGCCCTGCACAGACTGCGCATGGTATTGGGACAGCAACCGAACAGAACTGCTTCTTTCCCTTGTACCCTGGCCCTGACTGCCCTTTTGTGGACCTCCAGCTTCACCATGGCGGCTCTGCTGACCATGAGGGCCTATCCACGCAGAGATGGTCCCTGCCTCCCTCACTTTGGTCTGGGGGGTGGCCAGGCCAGGGTGGTACTTTACATCTACCTGGCAGACTTTGCCTTTTGTGTGGCTGTGGTGTCAGTGTCCTACCTCATGATCGCTCAGACCCTGAGGAAGAATGCACAGGTGAGGAAATGTCCCATAATCAGCGTGGACGCCACCTGTCCCCCACCTCCTCCACCGCTCATTGCAGCAGGGTTTGAGAGCATGCAGTGTGGTGTTCAGGGCCCCTCTCTCTATAGGAACCAGACATACAATAAACTGCAGAATGTTCAGACTCGCTCCTTTGCCAACAGAAATCAGCCAGTTGTGCCAGGGGCCGCAGCAGGAGCTACGTGCTGTCAGCTGGTGTCCACAGTCAACCTGGCCACAGCCAAAGACTCTAAAGCAGTGGTGACTTGTGTAGTTATTGTGTTTTCTGTGCTGCTGTGCTGCTTGCCAATGGGAGTTTCACTGGCACAAGATGTGCTGTCACCAGAGAGTAACTTTACACATTACCAGTTTGAACTGTGCGGGTTTGTCCTCATCTTTCTCAAGTCAGGCATTAATCCCTTTGTGTATTCTCGCAACAGCGCCGGCCTCCGCCGCCGCGTCCTTTGCTGTTTTCAGTGGGTGGCACTAGGTTTTCTCTGTTGCAAGCAAAAGACCCGCCTTCATGCAATGGGAAAAGGCAGTCTCGAAGTGAACCGCAATAAGTCATCCCACCATGAGACCAACTCGGCGTATGTCCTGTCACCAAAACCACAGAGAAGGCTAATTGATCAGGCATGTGGGCCCAGCCACTCCAGGGATTGTGTAGGAAGCCCTAAAGGCACCGGGACACGCAAACCCCGCCCCCCCAGCACCTCCACACCCATCAACACCCGCATCGAGCCCTATTACAGCATATACAACAGCAGTCCATCTGCTGGGCCCAGCTCACCTACCAGCCTGCAGCCTGTCAGCTCACAAACATTTGCTTTTGCTAAGTCTTATGTAGCTATGCACTACCACACCCACCAAGATGCACTACAGGACTTTGACAGCACCTCTGTGCATCAGATTCCCATTCCCTCCGTCTAAACCTTAGACATCTGTTGTTATAGATCAGTGTTAATACAGGGCTCATCTCACTTTAGGTACCTGGATATGAACACACAAGCGGGGATATAGAGTTGAATACTACTCTTTGAGATGAAACCTAAAATGTATTGTAATCTGTTTTCGGCTCAAACTTTCTAGTGCATTTTAACACAATACTGTGCACGCATGTGCCATCCTTAATGCAAGACTTTGGTTCAAAATGCTGCAGACTACATGAACTGATTTCTGTGCTGAGCCCTGAAAGCAGTTGCTGTAGTGACCGTGTTATGAAAACCTGCACACGTCCTCACATGGCTGACAATGGCATGTGAATGGAGGGACATTTGCTTCTTAAATGTTTGTGATCCTAAAACTTTTTAAAACAAATAAATGTTTGGCAAATGAAAGATGGTCATCCTTAATTTTTTTAATGTTCTGTACACTGTTTTCTTGTCATTTCTTATAACAATGCCAATATTGTGTTGACTGCAGTTGTGGTAACTAAACATGGGCTTCTCCAGCCCTTCAGCACCCTCTGGTGGTTTAATTATAATCCATTTCAATTTGACAAAATGCAGCATCTGTGCGATTTTCCTAAACCTATTTGTGTCATTCAGCTGTGCATAGACATGTTGAAATCAGGTATGAATTTTACAAATAACAATAGCTACATATATTTATTCCGTATTTATGAAATATATATATATATATATATATATATATATATATATATATATATATATATATATATATATATATATATATATATATATATATATATATATATATATATATATATATATATATATATATATATATATATATACACATATACACATATATACACATACACATACATATATATATATATATATATATATATACACAACACACATATATATATAATATATATTATATAAACAAACATTTTCTGTTGGTTTTCAAACTGACTTTCTAATCAAAAAGCCAGGGTCAGTTTTGAGTGAACCTAAAAGGGCTCTCTACAATGTGATATACCTAGTACAGTATATGATCATTACTGACATCACTGGCTCAGTTGAGTGAATTGCTTTTTTTAAACCAGCAGGAGCACATTTTTACAACTATCATGTCCAAGTCCAGACCAATTTTGATTTTGAGCTTTTTTATTAGTAAATTCAAATCAGTTGGATTATCTCTCTAATACAGCTCATCAGAATCCCAGTGTGCATTTGCATAAAAACAAAATACTCTTTCCATCATCCACAGGCATTTGTAACTTCAGTAATAAAAAAGTCTTCTGCTACTCAACAACATAAGTTAAAATCAACCATACAGCAAAAACAGACAGCACATATTGCTGCTTCCTGACTCTACAAGTGCAAACTGCCACTGAAAAGTAGCTTTTCATCTCAAAACAAAACATATTTTTTTTTCTTTTGATAATTGTAATTCCCCTGAAATTTATGGATTAGTTGTTTTACTCAATTCCTTCACATTAATATACTAGGAAAAGCACAGAACAAGCAGAGGTGATGAACTTTTGGTGTGAGGTGCGGTCTATCAGTTAGCAGGGTTACTCTGCTGCAGTGGATCATTGGCTCAAACAGTCTTCTGGGCTTATGTTGGTGCACCTCATATTTGGCTTTATGGAGTTAGCCAAAGAGTGATTACTTTGACCTCCAATCTTCTGTTCCCTCTCCAGTGTTCTTTGATATACTCCCTTTAGTTTAGCTGGATATTGATAAAAGTCCATGTTCATCTGCTGTATCCAGAACTCTGCATATAACCGGGGATTCCACCTGAAGAAAAGAAGCCACAATGTTTTCTTGTACAAGATCAATATATTATACTTTAGAAGCAGAGACTTGTTTATGGAGATATTCAGTAAGATGTCAAGAGCGAGGAGACAGACCTGTGGTGCCAAAGTATTATCAACCACATATTTGCAGTGCACTGCACCTTTTATTACTAAATACTTATTATGACTTTAAAATGTAGTTTAGCCCTTAAAATGTGTTATTATTTCCAGTTTTGAAAATACATGTAGTGTCATCATATATTCTCCAGGTGTGCGGAACTGTATTTTTTTTTTTTATCATTCGCAGTAGCAGTCAACTTTACTGTTCTTTTGCCTCTAAATCAAATGTATTATTGTTTAATTACCCATTTAAAACACTTACCCCAAGCACATACTGACACGTCTGAGGCTCCAGCATATACACTGTAACAGCATGCGGAGATTCTGATTCCTTACATCTGTGAAATACAAACATACAAATACAAACGTTTTTTTATGTAGCTCTTTTCTGGACACTCGAAGACGCTTTACAGAGCAATATTCATTCACTCCACACTCAGTAGTGATAAGCTACTACTGTAGCCACAGCTGCCCTGGGGCAGACTGCCAATTTGCGTCAACAGCCCCTCCCACCACCATCATCACTCACGCACACACCACTTTCTTACTAGACTGTGTGGGTGAGGTGCCTTGCCTAAGGACACAATGACAGTTTTTGCAACTGGCACCAAACCGTGGCACCTGGAATTTCCAGGGGGCTCCCATCCAAGTACTAACCAGGCCTGGCCGTGCTTAGCTTCTGAGATCTGATAGGATCAGGTTTTGACTTGTATACACACCAATTTTTATACACATTTAGAATATTTTCTCACTCACTTGAGTTTCACAACAACTTGTCTTGGTTTGCCTGTCAGATCACAGACATCCCCATGTCCGTAAAAGTGGGAAACTAACCTGTAGGAAAAGTGAACAGTTTTGAAAAATCTTGATCAAAATATACTTTATTAAAAAGTATAAGAAAAAACATACTTGACTTTCTGAACTCCATCCTCCTTAAGCTGGTAGGATCGAGCTACATTTTTCTTGGCCCAGTCAATATGCTCCTCAACATTCCAGCTCCCTACAACCACAATGTTCTTTCCTTGTTCTTTATCCTGAAAAATACATTTAATACATACCTAAATGTGTTAGAAATTTTAATGTAAGAAGCACGCATTACCTCATGGTACTGATGGACATGCTTGCCATAACAGAACTCATATTTCCACCACCCTACACCCTATAAAACACACCAGTTATGTGACTTTTCTATTTGTAATGCAAGTCTTTTTATAACATATCAAATTAGCTTTTCTTACCCCATGCAAACAGTACGAGCCACTAAGAAAATCCTTAATCAGCTGTTCATCAGTTAGACGAGAGATGTGCGTTGTTCCCACGGTGACTTGGGTCTGCCCTCCAACTGTCATGGGTTTGTGAGTGGAGGTAAAGGCCTCTTCTCTCACTGGAGATGCCTCATCCTATCGAATTCAAATCAACTTAATTGTATTATTTTTCCAAAAAACTGCTAGTATTCTTCTGCATGTCAGACTGCCTGACCTCTTTGGTTTCAGGGGCACTGCTGCTAAAAGGCGGTTTGAGCTGCTCTTCTCGCTCCTTGTCCAGCTCTGTGAGCCGCTGGGGTCGAAGAGGAGAGCCTGACAATGCCTGGCAGAAGATGGCATTGACTGGAGAAGTCTTGAATCTGAAACATAGGAGTAAAATCCAATGGATCATTGAAAAAAAAAACCCAAAAAACCCAATGGGTCTTATTATAATGTGGTTCTTGTTCTACGATACAGTCAATCTGAGGTTTGACAAATAAAAAGATAAATAAATCATTACATCTACATGCACTCAAATATGAATTGAATTTGAATGAGGCTCCTGGAGTGACTGGAGTACAATACATTAGTAACTTATAAACTAGATTAACAACTTTTGCATGTAGCTGTACAAAAAAAAAAAAAAAAGGAAAACAGACCTGTATTTTGGGTGGTCACAGAGCAGCGGTGTCAGAACCACCACCTCATATTCACAGGTTGTGACCTCAGCCACAGATAAGATCTCGTGTTTGGCCTCAGGGTGACACACATAAAGCACTGATGTAGAACGGGGCAGGTTCTGTTTCAGGGTGCAAGGAGTACCATTGCCCATGTCCACAGAGTAGTATGGGGTCAGTTGGCCCTCTATGTTCTTAGTAGGCACCTGATATTTTACAAGATTACATATGATTAATTACAATACTACCAAAGCATGTTTTAATGGAAACCTCAAAGTAATTACTAACATCTGTGTCTTCAGATTTTTTACTTTCAGTCTCCTCAGGCTTTTCTGAAAATTAATACAAACTTGAGTTAGATTTTTTGTATTAGGAGGTAGCAAAAGAAAAAGTCCTCTCACCTGTAGACTGACTCTTCTGTACCATATTGCCGAGGAAGTACTCCTGCACACTGACCTTCTTCACAAAAAAACAGTTATTAACCATGTTTATGGAACTTAAAGGCACTATAATAGAAATACTACTGACTTGTCCAGTTTCTTTCTCTTCATGATACTGTCTGACATATTTGCCATGACATACTTCATAGGTCCAGTATGACTCAATCTGCAACAGTGTTAGAAGTGTCAAAATGAAACTTGCCATTGACAGTTGTACGTTAGTATTTAAATGCCCATTGTCCCTTTCTGACTCAGCTGCGTCACTGAGCGGTTTGAAACATAAACTATCTAGAGTTTGAAACAAGGAAGTGAAACTCACCCTGTATGAACAGCTGCTGCGTTTGAATAATGGCTCCAGGAGTTCACCTGCAGTCAGTCCTTTGTACTCCTTCTCATCGTCCTAAGACAAATAAATGCATATATTTTTATGTTTTAACATCTGTATGTAAAAGGGATACCTGACACATCTTTCCTTTCAAAAACAAAACAAAGGAGCAGGTTAACAAAGCTAAGAGCAAACTTAATCCTTACATACAAGTGACTCCTTACCTCATCTCCTGACTTCAAAGAAGGCAAAAGACACTTGTACTTCTCCTGCTCTGTGGTTGTCATAATAACATAGTCCTCCTCATTGTACAATGCACCTGATGTTGGCTGTAACATAAGTTTACACATTAACTCTTTATAGTAGATTTTGCGTTACAATCTGATTGTAAATGTGTATCTTACCAGCGTAAATTCAGATCCAGGCCAGGTGATTTTAAAGGGAATTTCGTCTGTAAAAGTAGGGTAGCCTCCTCTGTTTGCAGAGATGCCATAGCAGACTTCCAGCAGCCCTCCGAGGAGCACCCAGAGCAGCCCAGCCATGATCTGCTTTCAGCGGCTCCGACGCCGCTCCCCCCGGGCCGACCGGGGCCACACACCTCACACAGACACTGTGCTGCACGGAGGATAAAAGCACTAAAGGCCGTCCAGGTGTAAGCTCTGACAAGGCTCACAATCTGACAATGCGAGACGGATGTCAATACAACAATCGCAGCGGAAATGATCTGTTTGTTTGCCACGTCGTTTTCCGGCCCAGGGGTTGAAATAACAACAGCGACATCCAGCGGCCAACTCAGGAATCTATAATAATGGGCCAATTGAACTGAATGTGCATTAATGATGCAGTGGCATTTAATATCTCTCTCTCTCTCTGTTTCTCTCTCTCTCTCTCTGTTTCTCTCTCTCTCTCTGTTGTTTCTCTCTCTCTCTGTTTCTCTCTCTCTCTGTTTCTCTCTCTCTCTCTCTCTCTCTCTCTCTCTCTGTTTCTCTCTCTCTGTTTCTCTCTCTGTTTCTCTCTCTCTCTCTCTCTCTCTCTCTCTCTCTGTTTCTCTCTCTCTCTCTGTTTCTCTCTCTCTCTCTCGTTTCTCTCTCTCTCTCTCTCTCTCTCTCTGTTTCTCTCTCTCTCTCTCTCTCTCTCTCTGTTTCTCTCTCTCTCTCTCTCTCTCTCTCTCTCTGTTTCTCTCTCTCTCTGTTTCTCTCTCTCTAAATAAGACGATCAACTTTAATGTGATAGTTCCGAATTTTCTCTTAACGTTAAATATAGCCTAGGCTACTGTTCATTGACAATTATTCGCCTTGTCCTTTTGTCCTCTTTGTAGTTAGGTCCCCTACTATTTCTCACATAAATAGCTGTTGATGCAACACTAGTCAGAAGGACGAGCCTCGAGTGTTCACATGAAAACTATTAAATGCATACCAGTCGTTTCGAAGAGACCTCAGCCATGTGTGGAGATCATAGTTCTATGATGGAGATTCACTGCTGTTGCCGGGGACTGCAAAGTTCAACGATATCCTGCTGCAAATGAACATGGCTATTCCTTTAGGAACCTGATGGTGTCACTGTTGCTATAAGAATAACCACAGTGTAGAATAACCAGAAATTGATTTTGAGCCAGGGAAAGAGGAGGGAGATTACAATGGAAAACCTGAAACAAAAAGAAGCAGGATTAAGAGGAGAGGAACGTGGAGGTGTAAGATTTGAAAAAACTTAACACATGGCCATACCTCCTTTACATTCTTCCACCTCTTTATAGGTCTATCTTACAAAAGGCTATGTGTGCTGTTAAAAAGAAATTTTAAAGGCAGGTAAACATGCATAACACTTGATTATTATTAAAATGATAATTACCTAGTATACCTTTCAGAATAGGAATAGAAAGACAAAATATGCTATGAATAAATGTAACAGAAATTTCACAAACTTCTTTAAAAGAAGTTTGTGAAATTTCAGGTTTTATGCAGTGTCAGTTATTAATATCGCAGGTATTCCACCTGTAAATTAAATAATGCATTTTATCCCATTTTCCTTTGTAGTTTAACTTTTTGTCTTAAAGGTTTTCATTATATTTCAAATACATTCAGTTTCTACACTCATTAATCTGTAAGTGCATTTGATTAAACACAGTATTTGATTAAGATGATCATCCAAATCCTCCTTTGTCCATGTCTGTGTGTTTTCTTGTGAAGTCTTGCTAACTTACCAGGTAGTAGGCCACCTGTTTTGAAATGTGCTTTTCATTTATTTTGCTGGTGCCATGGCTAGGGTGAACCTGATTTGCATAGATGCCTTTCGCACATTCACACCTTATGCATAATTGATACAACTGTCATCTCGAGAACCATAATAACATCAGTCCAAAGGGAGCGCGGAGAAATGAAACCTGGCATTTGAAGGTCTGCAGTGAGATTAAGATGTATCCTGAGCTGTCGCCTATAAACCACACAAGGAATACGTCAACCCTCACATCAGCCCTGTTACTGTGGATGGACTTTTAATTACATTCAAAACTCATTAACTTTCCATTTTCTTTACCCCCAAGGTTCAAAATCATGACTTAAAAGGGGCTAGCTAACAGGTGTAGGCTACAGTGTGTCCTATACCAAAAAGCACAAATACACAAATACAAGCCACAGGAGATCTGCTGAGAAACGTTTGGTGCAATTCTGAATTTCTGTTTGTATTTCTTATAGATTTATCATTGGGATCCAATAATGCAGCCAGCATATGGGTCACAAGCAAGAACCTGAATAAATATAGAGGTGCAGGTGCTGAAGTGACAGGAGGGGAATCCTGCACATGTTTTGTGCAGGATGAATACCAATGTTGCATTGAAAACTGCAAAGTGAGTTCTAGAAGCAGGGCTGTAGTGTGTGGGTACAAACTATGTTAGTGGGCCCCCACATGGATGTCATTTATGGGTTTCAGCTTCTGTTAAATGCAACATTTTAAGGATGTTCTCCCACTCAAAATACATAATATTTTAGTTTTAATTTTCTTAACTGGTTCTTAACTGTTTAGTTAGCACTAGCTAAACACTCTATATACATCACATCAACTGCACGCTCTGCCTGCAACAATGTATGACTGCAAAAATAAAATTAAATAAATTAAGAACAATGGCATTTTTTATCTACCATTCTGAATCCATAATAGTCTGTAATACACATTACAGATTTTGTGAGGGCTCCTCCCTGCACTAGGTTAAATAAGTAGACCTATCCTTAGCCGTCAGTCTAAAATCTTAGTCCTGCCTAAAAGCTTTGTTTCTCCATATCCGATGCATGTTCAACTAAGCTCACCGGTTTGATTAGTTCTGTTTACGTTAAACTATAGGGACTTAAGAATATTGTGATGTCACGTGAACCAAACCTATAGGCTTATTTACCACGTTGAGACATGCATTTTAATATGCCTTGCTGTGCTCTGTTGTTCCTAATGCACCTGTTGTTTTGGCCGGGCAGTTATAGGCTAAATGAATCTTGTAAGAGCCTACAGCTTGTATAGATTCAGCAAAGAATAAAAACAAGCTGTGTGTGAAACATGAAAGCGATGGATTTGGCCGTGTCAGCAGATCAGGGTGCGTCTCCCCACATGCCTGCAGAGAAGGTAATGAGACAGTATTTTTGTTTGGAAGGATCTGGAAAGGCTTCAAATACTCGTGGCGCTGGTTCAAGGGATTTCATTTCACCGTGACTTGGCTTTTGAATGACACTATCAAAATATGTCGAGACACACAAGCCCCAATGCATGGAAATGAGAATGAAAGAGTAATTTAATTCACAGCAGATTGAGTTGTGCATCTATCATCATTTGAGGTTATGGGATTTTCTCTTTTCCCAGAGGAGATCTCCTAGTACTGCCATATCATAACTGTCAGCCATTCGGACATGGGCTTGAAGAGGGCCAAGGTGAAACTAAATCAAAGCTATGAATGAAGTGAAATTAAACTGACAATGGTAATAGTTTTTTATTTTATTAATAGTCAAAACATGAAACATCATTAAACATTAATTACTAAATTACACTTTAGATTGCATGTATTCTTCAAATGAAATGTCATAATTTTAAAATGATATCCATTTTATATCATCTCATAACCCCCTGAAACGTAGGGAACCATTGCTATAGGGGATAATTTCATAGCACATTTGACTTTAAATAGACATATATTTGTACACTTGCGTCTACTTACGTAATTTTGAAATAAAGTACTTTACACACTTGTACTGCAACGGTGAAAATAAAACCTGACACCAAATAAATATTGTCTAATAAATTCTAATAAATAAAGTTTTTACAATTAAGGATTTTAATAAACATTAACTGTAAGACAGACTCTATCAACATGTAGTTTTCTGAGCTTCAAACAAATAGCTGCATAATCTTTATGCTGCACTATTTGGTTACACAGTATCCACTTCACTGCATTTGTCCATTAATTTATTTGCCTGGCTGCTGTAATGTTATTGATGCAAAAGAACCAAAACACTCCATCATTATTTGAACACAGTCACCAGATCTTACTGGCACCAGTTTGGGACACAGATGGTTTACTGGTGAGGGATATAAAGGATCATGACTTCCATTGCATATACAGGGACTTGGTGAAGCTAATGTTTTACAGCTCATCAGCTAATGTATTTTATGTATTGAAGAAAGTACTACTTCATAAGACCCAGTTAGCCTTAATAAAGCATGACCAAGGAGCTAATCCACAATGTACAAATAGTTACTAAGGCTTTTTTTTTTCTCTTGAAACAAAGCTATTTCTTTTGTGGTTCTGTGACACAAACTGGTCATTTAAAAATGTAACAGTAAGTTATGAATGCTACACAAAAGAAGTGACTATAGATTTGTGCAAGTACAACAGTAAGTAGGCTACTACAAACTAAAAGTCTTAATGAACAACACTAAGAACAAGAAGACACTAGAGCAACCTTCAAGAAGTCCCAAATGCAAGAGCAGAGGTGATTAAGATGTAAACAAGTGAGAGTTTACTGTAAATACAGTAAATATGTTTTGGCACCTATCTAAGTAGCTTCTTAAGTTCTCCAAGGGCTCTGGTAAGAGTAACTCTGGTAACTACACTGAAACTAATACACTGTATTAGTTATTACATTGAACTACCCTAAGATGTGACCTGTCAGCTATAGCATATTTTGATTAGCCCTGTTGTTTTTTGTTTGAGGTTAATTGTATAATCTAACAGTACCAACATAATGCTTTTTAAATTTCTAGACTTACTCACAGGAGGTAGGATACCCAAGTAATTGAATTAATAGTTTTGTTTTACACTGAAGGCATGCACATGTTGATTTAACAGCCTACTTTTTAAACATTTGCAAAACTGTAATCAATTTGGCAAAGTTTCAAAACTTTTCACATCCACAATACACCAGGTCATTAAGTGCTGCAGTCCAATAACACAGCATCATAACATTATATTTTTTCTCTATACTTCACAATAGCAAGATGTTGAGAGCAACGTGAAGCTGTACCAATGGTCTTATATACACTGAATACACGGCAAACCCACGCAGTACACACAAGGTTAGGAAGTACTGAGGTTATCCACGGTCTGCCTGATATTTCTACAAGCCAAACAAACTCCATCTAAAGTGCCACACTTTATTATGCACTTTTACAAACTTGTACTGCACTTTCCCCAGGCTTTATTCCTCTCCGTGTGTCTGTGAACTGCTCAGTACACAGCGCATATTGGTGGAAC